CTGTTCGGCTCTTAAGAGCTGTTTCGCAGTCTCGCTGGGAGAATCCCCTCTAGTGGCAGCTCCCGGAGAGTCTGAGCTGAGTGCTTTGGCAGCTGGGACCGGCTCCGCTTCCCTCCTCCCCTGCAGTTGGAAGTGGACCCAGACTGCTGCCTGCCCCCGGCCCCCCTCCAGTGAGTGCTGGACGCTTCTCCCGGCAGCACCCACTCCTCTCCCTCTTTAGGGAAGTCATTGCTAACTGGGGCTTCCAGGGCCCTGCTGCCCCTGACCAAGGCCTGGGGTATCTATCTCCACCCCCACCCACCCAGGCCTGGAGCCCAAGGAGCTATGGCCCTGAAGGAAGAGGAAGATGCGCTTACCAGAGGAGGGGGCCTGGGTGTGAGGTGAGCTTGCCGGGCAGACATGGGAGGCTAAAGTGCAGGGGTGAAGTGACTAGGGGTAGGTGCTCTGCCCCTCTGGGTCTGTGACACCCACCTGACCCAGATCTGGGGTTATCAAGTAAAAGACAATTAAATTTGGGTTTCACATAAGCGAGGAGGAGTTTTCTTTTAGTGTACGTGTCCTAAGCAACTGTTGAGTCGTTTATTTGTTATTTACCCAAAATTCAAATGGAACCAAGTGTCCTGTATTTTTAGGTTAAATCTGGAAGCCCTGACCAGGTTCCTAAAATGTCCCTGGGCCAGATGTTGAACACAGCAACCGCACCTGCTGCCTGCACTCACCAGGCAGAGTCCAAAGGGCCCCTGGAACCTGCCTCTGGGCCCCGGTTTCTCCCGTAACATGAAATTGCTCTTCTGTGTTCCTTCCTGCAGATGGGATGAGGCCAGGAGCCAGGAGGGAGGTGGTCCTGGCCCAGGCCAAGAGCACGGGGCCCTGTTGTCAGCATCCATCATGGCTCGGCCTGCAGTTTTCTGGAGTTAAGGTCAGGTGGGGGTGGGGCGCCATGGGCCCCAGACAGCACAGAGGAGGCTGTTGTCTAGAAGGGAGGGGGGTCCTGCAGGGGGTAGTCTCTTCTCTTCAGTACAAGGGAGGGAAGCATGAGCGTGCATGCATGTCTGTGCCCAGACATGCCGGGACATGAGGACGGGGGACCTCGAGCTCATGCAGCCAGCGGTCCCTCTGGATTCCACAGCACATTCCAGCTGGGGCTTCCCAAGTGCAGGGAAGTCGCCTGTCTTCCTCTGAACTGGCTGCGTCCCGGCCCACGCACCGAAGAAGGAGCCGATTGTGCCTGGTCTTCCCAGGGCAGCTGGGGGACCTCTGAGGTCAGCTGGCTCACTCATTCCCTTTTCAGAAAAGGCAACCAGAGCCCAGAGGGGCGGGAAGGCCACATCACCAGGGGGACTAGGGGCTGAGTCAGACCAGAACCACGCAGGTCCGAGACCCCACGCCCCGTGCGGCAGCACCGCCTGGGCTCCCGCAACCGCTGCCCAGGCGGAGGAACGCCTCGCTGGGGTGGGTTAGGACGCCTGGCCCAGCCTGGCCCAAGCCCAGCCCAGGGGGCCGGGTCCTGGGTGAGGGAAAGGGCCAGGCCGAGTGCTGTTCCGCTAAGCACCGTGCCCTCCCGCTCCCGCACTGGCTCTGCGCTGAGAGGCCGCTGGTGCAGATGGCTGCCGGCGCTGGGCTCCCTCTCAAAGCCCGCTGAGCACTCTGCCCTGGCCAGGCGCTGCCTGTAGGGCGGCCTTGTGCCTTGTTGGTTAGCTGCCACTTCCCGTGGTGTGCTGTGACCTTAGACAAGAAACGACCTCTCTGCGCCTCTCTCGACTCCTGTGTGAAAGGAGCGGGAGGAGTTGGAGAGCAGAACCTGCCGTCCAGGGGCCACTGTGAGGAAGAAGTACGGAGGCCGCTCAGTGCCCGGCGACAGTAATGGCAAATACATGCCAGCCGTTTTCCCTCCGGCAGACAGAGGGGCCAACGGGGCCTTCCCTCCGTTTCACACAGGGGCAACGCCGGGTGCTGAGGAACCAAGGGGCTTGCTTCCCCGTAAACGCGGCTTTGACACCCACCCCCCCACACTTCCCCAGCATGCCCCGCTCACTTGCCCCCTCTGCTGGCCATGGGTGCCCTGGGCCCCACCTAAGGCCACGTCAGAGAGGGAGGGGCTCATGACCGACCTCAGAAGGTGGCCTGGTACTGGCCCCTTCTGGGACTGGACACTCCAGCACTCCCCACTACCCCAGTCTGCCCCCCTCTTTCTAGTCCAACTGGGGCTGCCTGTGTCCCCCTGCCCCAGGGGTTAAGAGCTCGCAGAGACTGGAGACTGCCTGTCACAGCTGTCCCCTCCCCTGACCCCCGTGCTGTAGTCTCCTTGTAGCCTGACTCGACAGGACAGTGTCACAGCCTGAATTCCCATCGCCTGGTTAGGTCACTCTCTAGCTCTCTAACCTTCAGAGGCTCTCCACTTCCGCCTGAATCATCCCATGGCAGGGAGACTTTCAGGGCCCTCTGTAACTGCCCCCACCTGCCCCTCCTGTGTGCTCTCTTAGTCTTCCCTGTGTTCTTCAGCCCTTCACCCTGCCCTCTGCCTCTTTCCTGGCCTCTGCCTGAGCTGCCTTCTCACACTTTCCCCCAAACCCCTCCTTGAACCCAATAAATTCTTACCTATCCTTCAAGGTCAACCCAAATACCACCTCCTCCAGAAAGCCTTCCTGGACTTGGATCTCCTTGCAACAAGTGATTGTCCCCTCCCTGCTCACCCCCATGCAGGCCTCTTTCCTGGGCCTCTCTGAGAGCCCTGGGCCATTCTCCCTTGAAGATGTGTGGACGTGTCCAACTCCTCACAGGAGTAGGCTGTAGGGGCTGGGCGGCTCTGAATCAGCTTGCCTTTCCCCATGGCGCTTTGTTCCAAGTAAACACTGGCCCTGTTGTGGCTGAACCCAAGCTGGTTAGAGGCCTCCCTGGGTCAGGGGCCAGACTTCTAAAAGGGGACAGGGAATTAATTTCCAAAGTCTTTGGTGAGAGGCTTGCAGATGGGGGGTGGGATTCAGACTGGACTTCTCCTTACTGGCTGTGTGGTTCTAGGGATCCACCACTTCTGCTTCTCCTCAAAAGTCTCTCACCTCCTATATGAGTAAGTAGCTCCCCAGGGATGGAGCGGCTTCTAAGAGGGTGCCGTGAGGGCAGGGGCCTGCTGCCACCTTCCGGATGGAGTGCCCGCAGGTCGCCAACAGGACGTCTGGATTTTCTTCCCAGCATTTCTTTGGAACTTGAAGCCCACCAGCCCTCATTCTTGGCTGAGGGAGATGACTTTTGGAGTTGACCTCAAGTTCGAGAGGCGGGCTTGTGGGCCAGGAGAGCCAGGGAGGCGGGAGGTAGCACCTGCCAATTAAGGGTGCAGAGAGCTTATTATCCTAAGGAGCAGTTGAAGGACCGACTCGTGCTCACCTTCCTCAAGGCTTAGCAGAGACAAAAACGGCATTTGGGAGCCATTATTCTTCCAAAGTGTAGGTTTCCAGGGCACAGGCCAGGAGTGGAAAGAGAAACACCTCGAAAAGGTGGGGTGGGGAAAATCAAAGGCAGGAGAGTGGGGACACAGCTGCGCCCACGAGCACTGGCCGACTGGGCAGCAGACAGGACAGATCCACGGAGACTCAGCCGGAGAGGCTGGGCTCAGAGGAGGTTAGAGTCTTGAGGGCCCCGGCCCCAGTCTTCTCCTCTGGGGCCCCTTGTCCCCACCTCCCCCTGCAGCCCGACTCTCACCTAACCCTCACTGTTTACCCTCTGAGATGTCCCTGTAGCCAGAGGAAAGAAAGGAATTTGGGATCCCGGGACCCCCACTTTGTAGGGCTGCTCTTGCTCCCATGGAAAGAGGACTGGACTGCTCCATGTGGCTCCTGTCTCAGATCCAAACACTGCGGGGCACTGTGGTTAGACAGGACTGCTCAGTCCTAAAGAATCTCCACAGAAGCCGGAGTCTCAGCAGCCCGTGGAAAGTGGAGCCCCTTGCAGGCTGAGCACATGGGAGGGAGGGCCTCAAAGTGGTCTGGGGGCTCTGACTGTGGTGCAGCGGCCAGCCTGGGGTGCAGGCACTCCCTGGGAACATCCCCGAAGTTGGCGTTGGCGGGCAGAGGATGAGCACGGGGTGGGGAAACCAGGCCCGGAGCACACATTCTTCTGTAATCGCAGTTCCTCTGGGCAGCCACATCATCTGGCTCCCAGCTGAGGACAGACTTGGCCCAGCTGTGTGCATGCACGCATATGCGGGTGCGTGCATGTGTGTACATATATGTGCATGT